CCTCAAACAGAAACACAAACATATATATAAATTCTTTAAAATTTCTTTAAAAGATTCTTTAAAGTTATTTTTTCTTAAGATTTCATTTATTTATTTTTAGAGAGGGGACAGGAAGGAGAAAGAGAGGGAGAGAAACATCAATGTGTGGTTGCCTCTCAAGCACCCGCTACTGGGGACCTGGTCTGCTACCCTAGCAGGTGCCCTGGCCGAGAATTGAACCGACGACCCTTTAGTTCACAGTCTGGCACTCAATCCACTGAGCCACACCAGCCAGGGCTTAAAGTTTTTAAAACAAAACAAGAAATGTCTAAATACCAGATTCAGGATAGTAGCTACCTATGAGGGTAGGCAGTGGATAAGGAAGGAACATTTAGGTAGAGGTAAATTATTGATAATTTTCTATTTCTTGGATTACGTGGTAGGTTTGTGGGTATTTACTATGTTCTTGATAAATAAATGAAAAGTTTAAAGGCCCAGGGATGAGCTATTGATGGTTGTGTATCATGAATTAAGGATTAAGATTAATCCAATTCTATGTACTCAAGTGCAAAGAGAAAATATATTAGCAATAACAAACATTTATATAGTGCTTACCATGCATCAGGCACTCTTCTAAGCTCTGCATGTGTTTTATCCCATTTAATCCTCCCAGTGAAGAGAGACACTGATTGTCCCTGTTTTATAGATAAGAAAATCAAGGCCCAAAGACATTACCAGCAGAGCTGGGATTTAGTCCAGGCTGGCTGGTTCCAGAGCCTATGCTCTTAACCACTGCCCTTTCAGATGACTGGATAAATGAAAGAGATAATTATGTTAGGCCTTAGTCACCTGTTAAAAAGCTCCACAGACCACAAATAAGTGACTTTATATTGCAAACTGGGTCCTAAATGATTGTTGGCTATTTCAGGGATGTATTATGTGCCTATGAGTAAACGACACACTTTTGTTGTAGACCAAACAAACAAACCTCACTGTCAGGAGACCGTTCATTCTATGAAGAAATAGTGAAAACTTTTTCAATTCCCAGCTTCAGGCCTTTTTGTATGTGCCAGGAAACTGAAGAGCTCTCAGCTCCCCAGACACATTTACTGTTGCAATTATAATTGTCTGTGTGTGTATTGAGGATACACAAACCATAAAACCTAGGAAGAACGATAGTGGAAGGAAGACATTTCATTGAAAACATACTGATATATCCTTTAATTGCAGTTTCTTCCATGTGCATAATTTCTATTTTTGCCTTTTTCTCTGAAATTTAAAGGCAATAGAGAAAGCACTTCATAGAGAAAACTAGTTGTGGCTGCCCTCCCACTGGACTGTGTCCTTGGGGTCTTTGAGTTGTATAGCTCCAACGGACCAACACAGCTTATCATCAACACACTTGGTTCTAGACAAGGCACTAGAAGGAGAGATCAACATGCTGCTATGATGCTCAGAGAATCTGTTGGTAGCTTAACTCTGGTTTCATGACTGCTGAAGGAGCTTCCTCGCCCAGGTCAGCTGTCATCACAAATCTGGCCATAGATCACAAGACCACATGAAAATTTCGAGTGGACCCCAACAATCCCATCACCACCAGAAAAAGGGTTCAAAGCCCTGGCTCTCTAAAACCATGGGTCACTTTCATCCTCTCAGCTCTCTCTGATGAACAAGTGTGAAAATAGCCTGATTCAAGCTACGAAGCTTCATACTATAGAGAACACAAGGAAATGAAAAAATTACTTATTTTGGCCCTCACTGGTGTGGCGCAGTGGATTGAGTGCCAGCCTGCGAACCAGTGTTGCAGGTTCAATTCCTGGTCAGGGCACATGCCTGGGTTGCAGGCCAGGTCCCCCAGTTGGGGGTGTGCAACCTATCAATGTATCTCTCACACATCAACATTTCTCTCCCTCTCTTTCCCCTTCCCCTCTCTCTAAAAAAATAACATTTTTTAAAGACATAACTACATACATAGGAGATAAGTTAAAAAAATTTTAATGCAGCATGGATCAAATATTATGTCATTATTCAGTTGTGTCATGGACACACACACACACACACACACATCACAGGCTGTATTTTGGCTCTCTTACTGATAATGGCATTCAGGCCTCTTTTGTCTACCTGTTGAAATTACCAGTCCTCTCCACACCAGACATGTTATCAGTCCCTTTAGGCAAAACTTCCTGCTTCACCCCAAGAGCAACAGTCTCTAATAAGCTTGCTGGTATTTCAAGCTGCAAGCCACCACGCCCAGGAGAGACTCAGGCATTGCCGCGCATACTGGTGAAAGCTCCAAGTTCCCTCTGGTGCTCCCTCACTCTTTATCATGAGATTTTGGAAACTATATTGCTCTGGTCATTAGCTTATTCTTTGATCAGTGAGTCACCTAAGCAGGCCATTTAAGCCAAAAATAGTCATTCTGGAGCCTGAATTATTTGTACTGGCTATTACCTTAAGTATCAAATAATGGCTTAAGTTCCATTTTTTTTGTTAGTGTGTCGTTGAAATAGATTAAAACGCCCTATATAAAGTTTTTCTCTGAGTGTTTTGTGTTTTTAGAAATAATGTGTTGGTCGCTGTTGGTTTTTTTAAATCCTCTACCATTCAAATTTTTAATCTGTAAATGTCATTTCCCACTAAAAGGAACCAGTACTCTTTAGAGAAGAAAATGGGCAGAAAATGTAGCAGAGAAACCTGGAATAAAATAATGAAGAGGGGCAAGATCGGAACGAGACTATAGATGAAACATGACTAATTAATGTTGATATTGGGTGGTGGGTACATAGGAGTTCTTTCTCCTTTTGTATATTTTTTACTTTCTCCATAAAAAGTTATTAAGGAAAGCTAAAAATAATTCTATTAAAAAATAAAACAGTAACAGCACATACATGGTAAAAACAAGTTTTCTTTTAATAAAGCATAAAGGTATACAATGAAAAGTTGAGTCTCTCTCCTATCCAGACCCAAGACATCTCCTACTCAGCATGTTCTTAATAACAATTTCCCAAGATTCTCAATGACGTTTATATGAAAATAAATGCTCATACATAATCATTTTTTAAAACCACAAATGGGAGCGTACTCTATATTGTTCTATGTCTTATAAAGTTTTAACAGCTAGTTTTAATACGATGAGTACGACTATGTACCACAATACTGTGAATTTCTGTTTTTATATATTAGGCTTCTTTCAAGCTTCTTTGATCTAATCAAGACAAAAGGCCCACATATTCACCTTCCTCAAGATTATTTAGTAAGAGAAGCATGGCTAAGGAGGGTTAAACAGGTTGTGGTTCCTAATCTTAACAGTTTTCAAGTTTAGGTTTCAGTTTGGAGGACATTAGTGCTACCTTGAAAAAGGTCATGTTTAAAAATATCAAGATATGCTCTACTGCATATCGGACCTTGAGAGATGTGGCTGGAGAAAGGATCAATACAAGAATCCTCATAAACTCTGCCCTCAGGACACCTGGTAGGATTGCAGAAAGCATAACTAAAGGCTGTGAACTCAACACTACCACCCTTCACCGTACGGCGAGCAGGACAAAGGCTGTACCTGACCTGATCTCGCTATCACCAGCACTTCGCATAGGTGCTATTGTCTAGCACAATAAAGGTCTTTGGAAAGAACGAAAGTTGAGATTTGGGGCGGATAATGATTGAGGGAGCCCAAACAGGTGGGGTTAGAGACAGCAAGGTGATTGTGCCACTGGGGTCTAAGACCAGGGAAAGGGGCGGAGGGATGAGTAGGTCCAAGAAGCCATAGGGGAAAAAAAATGCGACACTTATGCATGGAGCGTAATTTTCACTCTATTATTTAGCCAGGAGGAGCATTAGGTATTTTTAAAAACTGCTCTATTAGGGGATTACAAAATCCCACATCCACGTGAGTGCGTAACATAAAACAGGAAGCCCACAGGCACGCCCGCAGACCGCGAAGCTGAGAGCGTCGGTCACTCCCCTCGGTTACCAGGGGTACTTGGGCAGGATCTGGGAGTTCCCAGGCAAGCCGGGCTCCCGGAGAGAGCGAGGATGCGTCTCGGCTGCGTCTCGGCTGCAACTGACCCGAGAGCCGCGCTTGTCCTCCGCGCCGTCCCGGGACGTTAACGTGACCAGCAATTTGTAAACTGGGAACTCCCGGCCTGGCTTGCCCCGCAGGGCTCCAGGGACTGCGGGCAGCGCTCAGGCTGTTCACGAAGAGGCCAAAGGAACTAAGATGGTGTACGCTGGGCGCACCCGGAACGGCCTCCAGGATTTCGGGGCCCGGACAGCCGGAGGTAAGGAAGTGGTGAGCACAGAAGTTTCGAGGTCCCGCGCACACCAGAATACGCGGCTGGACCGAACAGTTTGCCTGAAGAACGCCGAAAGCGCGAAAGGGATTAGTGGGATTCGGGTCACCTTCTCGCGACGTGTAAGTGACGTCGCACAGCAATCGCGTGTTCCACTCCTTCACCTTCAGTCCATCCCCTCAATACGTGGGCCTACCCCTTTAAGCGAGTGATGGACAGTTATTTCAGCCTATCAACTTCCTCATCACCATCCAATCAGATTTAAACTTCTCTCAGCGGCCAGAGGAGTTGGAAGAAGGGGACGAAAGAGGGAGCGCTCTCTCGCGCGAGATCGCTGTGAGGCGGCCTCTCAGAAAAAAACGCCAGAAAAGATGGCCCGACTTCCCAAGTAGTGGGTTAAAGGACGGGGTGGAAAACCAATGAAAGTGATGAGGAGGTGGGACTGTTGCTTTCAGAGACCAAGAGGTACCGTTACAGGGCATACTTTTTGTCCAATCAACGCCTGCAGACTTTGGGTCAGGTGACCATAAAGTCCGAGGGGCAGAGCTACAGCCTGGCGCGAGGAACCGTTAAGATGGACAACAAATGTAACCAATGAGGTACTCCCACTAAGCCGTCGCGAACCCAATAACAGTGGTTGGGCGGGCGCCTTCCCGGAGCGCGGGGAGATGTAAAGACAGACAAGTAGTTTTCCCAATGAGACCGTAGAAGAGAGAAGCTACGTGACCAATGGAGGCTGCGGGGCGGGATCCTTTGCAGCGGCGGAGTCCAAGATGGCGGCATGCGGTTCCGCTGTGTGAAACCAGCGCGGGGCGGCGGGTTAATCAGCTCCGCGGAGAAGGCGTCCGGCGACCCGCAACAATGAAGGGAAAAGAGCGCTCTCCAGTCAAACCCAAGCGCTCCCGTGGTGGTGAGGATTCGACTTCTCGCGGGGAGCGGAGCAAGAAGTTAGGGGGCTCTGGTGGCAGCAATGGGAGCAGCAGCGGAAAGACCGACAGCGGTGGCGGGTCGCGGCGCAGCCTTCATCTCGACAAGTCCAGCAGCCGAGGTGGGAGCCGCGAGTATGACACTGGTGGGGGAAGCTCCAGTAGCCGCTTGCATAGTTACAGTTCCCCAAGCACTAAAAATTCCTCGGGCGGGGGCGAGTCGCGCAGCAGCTCCCGAGGTGGAGGCGGGGAGTCACGTTCCTCTGGGGCCGCCTCCTCAGCTTCAGACGGCGGGGAGTACAAGACACTGAAGATCAGCGAGTTGGGGTCCCAGCTGAGTGACGAAGCGGTGGAGGACGGACTGTTTCACGAGTTCAAACGCTTCGGTGATGTAAGTGTCAAAATCAGTCATCTCTCGGGTTCTGGCGGCGGGGATGAACGCGTAGCCTTTGTGAACTTCCGGCGGCCAGAGGACGCGCGGGCGGCCAAGCATGCCAGAGGCCGCCTTGTGCTCTATGACCGGCCCCTGAAGATAGAAGCTGTGTATGTGAGCCGGCGCCGCAGCCGCTCCCCTTTGGACAAAGATACTTACCCTGCGTCATCCAGCGTGGTCGGGGCCTCTGTAGGGAGTCACCGGCACCCTCCTGGAGGAGGTGGCGGAGGCCAGAGATCACTTTCCCCCGGTGGGGCAGCTTTGGGATACAGAGACTACCGGTTGCAGCAGTTGGCTCTTGGTCGCCTGCCCCCTCCACCTCCGCCACCATTGCCCCGAGACCTGGAGAGAGAGCGAGACTACCCGTTTTATGAGAGAGTGCGCCCAGCATACAACGTTGAGCCAAGGGTGGGAGCTGGAGCAGGTGCTGCAGCTTTCAGAGAAGTGGATGAGATCTCACCGGAGGATGATCAACGTGCTAACAGGACGCTTTTCTTGGGTAACCTAGACATCACTGTGACAGAGAGTGATCTGAGAAGGGCTTTTGATCGCTTTGGAGTCATTACAGAAGTAGACATTAAGAGACCTTCTCGGGGCCAGACCAGTACCTATGGCTTTCTCAAATTTGAGAACCTAGACATGTCTCACCGGGCCAAACTAGCAATGTCTGGCAAAATTATCATTCGGAATCCTATCAAAATTGGTTATGGCAAAGCTACACCCACCACTCGCCTCTGGGTAGGTGGCCTGGGATCTTGGGTGCCTCTTGCTGCTCTGGCACGAGAGTTTGACCGATTTGGCACCATACGCACCATAGACTACCGCAAAGGTGACAGTTGGGCATATATCCAGTATGAAAGCCTGGATGCAGCTCATGCTGCCTGGACCCATATGCGGGGCTTTCCACTTGGTGGCCCAGATCGTCGCCTTAGAGTAGACTTTGCAGACACAGAACATCGGTACCAGCAGCAATATCTGCAGCCTCTGCCCTTAACTCATTATGAGCTGGTGACAGATGCTTTCGGACACCGGGCACCTGACCCTTTGAGGGGTGCACGGGATAGGACGCCACCCTTACTATACAGAGATTGTGATAGGGACCTTTATACTGACTCTGATTGGGTGCCACCCCCGCCCCCAGTCCGGGAACGCACTCGGACTGCAGCTACTGCTGTGCCTGCTTATGAGCCACTGGATAGCCTGGATCGCAGGCGTGATGGCTGGTCTTTGGACCGGGACAGAGGTGAGCGAGATCTGCCCAGCAGCAGAGACCAGCCTCGGAAGCGAAGACTGCCTGAGGACAGTGGGGGCCGGCATCTGGATAGGTCCCCAGAGAGTGACCGTCCAAGAAAACGTCACTGCGCTCCTTCTCCTGACCGTAGTCCAGACTTGAGCAGTAGCCGGGATCGCTACAACAGTGACAATGATCGATCTTCTCGTCTTCTTCTCTTGGAAAAGCCCTCTCCAATAAGAGACAGACGAGGTAGTTTGGAGAAAAGCCAGGGTGACAAGCGAGACCGCAAAAACTCTGCATCAGCTGAACGTGATAGGAAGCACCGGACAGCTGCTCCCACTGAGGGAAAAAGCCCTCTGAAAAAAGAAGACCGGTCTGATGGGAGTGCAGCCAGCACCAGCACTGCTTCGTCAAAGCTCAAGTCCCCTTCCCAGAAACAGGATGGTGGGACAGCACCCGCAGCAGCAGCCTCTCCCAAGCTCTGTTTGGCCTGGCAGGGCATGCTTCTCTTGAAGAACAGCAACTTTCCTTCCAACATGCATCTGTTGCAGGGTGACCTCCAAGTGGCTAGTAGTCTTCTTGTGGAGGGCTCGAGTGGAGGCAAAGTGGCCCAGCTCAAGATCACTCAGCGTCTTCGTTTGGACCAGCCCAAGTTGGATGAAGTAACTCGACGCATCAAAGTGGCAGGGCCCAACGGTTATGCCATTCTTCTGGCTGTGCCTGGAAGTTCTGACAGCAGATCCTCCTCTTCAGCCACATCAGACACTGCCACCTCTACTCAGAGGCCACTTAGGAACCTGGTGTCCTATTTAAAGCAAAAGCAGGCCGCCGGGGTGATCAGCCTTCCCGTGGGGGGCAACAAAGACAAGGAAAACACCGGAGTCCTTCACGCCTTCCCACCCTGTGAGTTCTCCCAGCAGTTCCTGGATTCTCCTGCCAAGGCACTGGCCAAATCTGAAGAAGATTACCTGGTCATGATCATTGTCCGTGGTGCGTCTTAAAGTCCATGTGTAACTTGTATTTACTACTTTGACATGGTTCCTGTTTTGTGATGTATAATGGGATACAGCATCAGATGAAATTTTCTTTTTATTTAGTTATTTAGTTGTAGCTTTTTGTTTTTTATATTTTTATAAGCCTCTTTAAAATAGACACCAGGACAGTTTAGCTATTAAGTGAAAGGGATGCCCTGAAGGTAGCTGGCAGATGGATTTACTTTAATTAGGAGTTACACACTTATGAGTAACTTTTTTCCTCCTCTTTGGTTTTTTCTTTTTTCAATCTTGAGCATAAAAAAAAAAATCCTCAAAGTTACAAAGTCAAAATTTTGAAAAGTCAAAATTTGGAGAAAAGAACCCATTGACTATATAAAGATGGTAATATATACCTAAAAATGGCTTGATTGGTACGTAGGTAAAAGAATTCCTGTACCAGAAATGTTATTTGTTTGAAAAAATCTGATCAGGGCCCTCAAAAGTAGAAGCTGGTAAACTGTATAGCAGTGTAATTACTTTAATCAGGTATTTGAGTATTTCTCTTAAAATACACAGTTTATTCCCAGAGTTTGCTTTAACATACGCATTTTTATCAGTAGTTCTTGAGTTCTGTATCCTTTATATGCACTTTTGGTTTCTAGCTATAACTGTTCAGTAAAAACTGAGGAGTATGTTAAAGACCATGTGTCTTACACTTACACTAGGATGCAAGATGTAAGTAGGCACTTTTAAAATCAGAATTCTTTGGTCAGTTATTGGTGTGTGGTGGTCTTTTTACTGACTTTTTCAGGGAGGTGTAGTTAGGTACAGTTTTAATTGTGCGTATTTCAAAACTTAAGTGTTTTTCATCAAAGATGAGTTTTTGTTTTTGTATCCATTCAGATTCTTGATTGCAATAATAGAAAGAAGAGTTGTCTGCAGGCTCATAAGTCATCTTTTGTTTCAGTGGGCATTAATCAGCCATATCTAGATTGCAGAATTTTTTAAAGTCATCGTGAAATGCCTTTGACATGCTCTTATAAAATTTTGCATGTATTTTTTATCTTCACATTTAAATAGTAGCGATGACGTTACATTACTGAAAATGTTTTGAATAACTTTGAAATACTGTGTTTAATACTTCTACTAGTGTCCAACCACAGAGAGTTGAAATGTCAGTGTAGGAAAACCTTTTTTTAATTGTTTTACTTTCCCAAACATCTGGAATTAATTCAAAATAATTTAACCTACCCTCAGTTTTTTGAAAGCTGGAGATTATATCAACTTTTGGTTCTTAACAAGGGCTTTTTCTGCTTAAAAGTAATGATTTTCTTTAGTCTTTCTTCTTTTCATCTGTCCCTTGGCTACCACCTCTAGTTTCTCAGCTCATTAGTACATTTTCCCCTGTTGATTTAAATGCTGAGGACTTTAGCTAAGGCCCTTGAATTTTACAGCGATTAGAAACTTTAGGACCATTTGGATCATGGTCATGTTTCTACTCTGTGAAAGTGACTTATTGAAGGCCTGGCAGAACCCAACTGTTTTCTTTCTGTTAATCAAAGCTGGTAGTTTAAAATAGCACCAATAATAACCTAGGGAAATGTCATACAATTTTTTTATTTTCCATTATGACAGGTGTCTAATACATGTCAGCCTGAAAGCCTCATCACTGCTGTCTTTTTTTTTTCATTATGCATTCATAAGTTTTCTTTTTAGATTTGGAGGTTTTTTGTTTTGTTTTTAAACTGGAAAAACTAGCCATTTTGAGAGAAGGAAAGTACTAGCCTATGAACAGAAAGGCCCTTGGTTAGCCTGTAGGGAAAATACCTAAAGTCCTGCAGTTAAGGCTTTGGGTGCCTTTTGCTTTTAAAAGGCCGAGCTTGGCATGGTAATATGGCATAGACACCTGTTCAGAAACTAATGCAAGTGTGCAGTCTGTGCATACGTGGGGTCAAAGTACAGTTTGACTAGATACATTTTTCCAGTTTAAACCTCACTAACCATTAACTTCTGAATATCTTTTGATCAGATGGTTGGACGAATAATTCTGCTCTTTTAGAGAGTGAAGTCCATGACATCTAATTCTATGATAAACCCAAGTGTGTGTAGTACCCCCCCCTTTTTATTTTTTAAGCGGTTCTCGCTCCATGTTTGTTTGAATCTTTGATATTGCAGCTTTTGTTAGATCTGGGAAATTTGTGCTTCATTGTTTTTGAAACAATGGCTTGATACCATTTCTAAACGTATGTATTATAAATAATTGTTTAGTTTGGTGCTTACCTGCAAGAGTGCCATCATTCAGTTGAATCCCTTCTTTGTGATGCTCATTCTGTTTATGCAGGTTTATAATATTGGTAAATTATTGACTTAAACCTTCAGAATGGAATGAAAACAAAAGTCTAAAACTGTCTGGTTCTGATGCTCATTAGTCAGAATTTCATAATCTCAGCATTGGGTGTTCTTTGTAACAACCAATTTTTTTCTTTTTCTCATAGTTTTAAGAAAATAGTTGTTTAGTTGATGTTTCTGAAACTTGGTTCAAATGAATGAAAAAATATCTTCAGTATATCACTTAATGACATATTAAGTATTACTGGTGAAAAACATAAAGCTAATTAAGACTTTTGGATGACCACTTCAGAGCTTTTGGAAAATTAAGCAAGCCTTCAGCTCCTAGCCAATTTTTAAATACTATTTTGTTGGTTGTAACTGGGATTCTTAGAAAGACTTTTCCACACAAAAATTTTAATTCCTGGTTTAAGATGTATACTTTGACTCATAACTGAGCGTAGGTGTTCTTCCCTTTAAAGATTACACCTTAAAATGTCCATCCTCTGGCTCATATAATCTTCTGTCACATTTTGACGGTAATATATTCTGGCCCTTCTTAACTCAATTAGATGATTTGAGGTACAGCAGCAGTAAAAGTAAGTTGTATGTATGTTGCTTTCATAGTCACACACTGTTTAGGTTTATTTTAAAACGTTTATGAGCAGGTTTTCACTGACAGCTTTTTTAAAAATATTTTTTTTAAATCTACTTTTCTTTAAACAGTGAAATTGCTCATTATGCAGGTATAGTTTGAACTGCAGTTGACGTTCATACAGGAACCATTCACCAAAAACTCTGTGGTAACAGAATTAGGAAATCCTCTTGAGAAGAGGGCCTTAATGACTTTTCATGTAAAGACAAATTTTGGAGAGAATTTCTGGACATTTTTTTTCTGTCTCTGCCACAGTGCGTGATTTTGAGACAGATAGGAGTTAGGTATTAGAACAGAGCAGAAGTGGATGTGACCCTGTTAACATTCTGGTTATAGTGATGTCCCTAAGGGGAGAAAATGATTTTGGGTAACCACAGTGAACTGTCCACCTTAATTAAGAGTTTTATAAGTGTGATTTAAACAGCACTGAAAAGTAAAAGTCCTAAAGTGTTCTTTGGCTGTTTAACAATGGTTTGTAGGAGTGTTTTCTTAAAATAACAGCTGCTGTCTTTGGTAACACAGATGAAGGTGGATTTTTAAATGGCTTTGTATCTGGAACCCTTTCTATAATGGAGCAGTTTTGTATTGCTCCATGTAAGTTACAGAATGAAAATAGAGGGGGTTAAAGTTTGACTAAACTTCACCTTTTTACAGTTTCATTTTTTTAAGTTATATGTAGAATATATTGATTATAGGTTGATTATAAACTTAGTTTCTTCTGAATTTTTTCCAGTATGTTTTACTCAGTTACATGGGTATAAAGGATATTTTCAGTCCTATAATCCTCACTTAATTGCAGTCTTTAAAAAAAAGTCCACCCTATTCTACTTGTTATTTGTCTTTTCATACAGTAAATTCATTTCAAGGTTTGTGCTAGTGGGTATTATTGGTGCTTTTGAGGTCAAGGTGGACTATCCAGGAAGGTCTTGTTAACATTATGTTCATCTATGATGGCATAGGGGAAATATATATATATATATATATATATTTTTAATATTGTAAACATTTTTACTGAATAACCTTTTTTTCCCTCCTGCAAGCAAAGCTGGTGAACAGTGGATGAAGATACGGAAATCAAAGCTCTAATGGACCTTTTCGAAGAGAAGTTGTGGCTTATGTGGAGTTTACATGGGCCTCTTGATGGAAGAAAGCTAATCTGTTTAGTATTTGTGCATTTTACTAAAATGGCAGCTTAAAGTTGTGTATCTGCTATTGTGATGCCAATGCCGGTGTTTTAAGTGGAAAAAAAATGACCTCTTGCTTTGTGCTGTGTACACAAGATTTCTGGAAAAGTAAAGAAAAACCCTTTTTATGGCTCACACAGCTTAAGAGTAGCTGTCACTCAAACGTGCGCTCACAGTTGAGCTGCTTTTGTTTTATTCTAAATAAATTGTTTCTTTTGAGGAAAATGTTTTTCTGCCTGGAAGTGAATTGACGGCAAACCTTTGACCCCTTTGTTTGCAGCTGAGGCGTTACTTGCTGCTGCTCAGATCTTGTATGTCTTGAGCAAGAAGCAGGGAGACCATCATTTTGACTTGTCACGGTGTGTCAATTCTGAAGGATCACTAGTGTTACTGTGACCCCCTTTGTTTGCAGTGAAGGGGATCATTTGCTTCTCGGTCCTCAACTTGATGAGGAAATGGTGCTGTTGGCTGGCACGCAAGAAGCCGGGGCAAGCACCGTAAGCCTCACCACAGTGCACGAGTCGGGGGCTTTGCTGGTTGGAAGAGCCGGAGTTGCTGAAATTTAAGTTTTGATTTATTTTGTTCACCCATCACGTTTGGCCTTAGTTTCATTTTTAATTTGAAGAAAAGTTTGCAATTGCTTTATCTTGCACTTAACATTTGCACCAAATTGCCAAAAGAAGGAGAATGCTCCGTGTGCTTTTTAAATGTTAATGATGATGTTAATAAAGCCTTTCCTGACACATTTGAGGAGCTCCTTCATCTCCAGGGGCTTCTCACCAGAGGTATGCGGTGATGGGTTTAGTTCTGAATGGATGAAGAGTTCCTGAGAGCTAGTGTTTGTAATTAGAACCGTTACTTGGTATCTGTGCCTTATTTGACCTGTGGTTCTACATGCCTTGGATGTGCATGCACCGTGACGGTTTCGTAGGTACGAACGCACACTCAGGCCCAGTCACCTCGGTTGGTAGTACAGATTGTGAGGAAAAAAATGGAGGCATCCCTAAGGAGGAAAAAAATGTTTGCCTTTAGTTCCTGCATTATCCTGCACAGGGGGTCCTGAGCTTTGGAAGCTGTTCCCAGTACAGGAGAACAACTCCCCTGGTGCAGCAGGAGACTTCGGTGCACAGTGACAACGCTGGAGTTCAAGAGGAAGCCAGCAGTGCTGCACCTTTGGCTTCAGACACCATTGTTGTTTGCCAGTTGTAAACTTAACTAGTTGCAGACGAAGACCACCTTGAAATGCAGGCTTGTTGGGCTTGTTTTGAATTTTAACCTCGGATGGAAGAGCCCTAGTGCTGTCTGTCTCCATGCGGGATGATGATTACTTAGGCAACAGGTGCTTACCAACAAAGGATGCCACGATTATACTCTGCAAGGTGGTGTTCCAGTGGCAAACAGCTGTATAAACTCTTGTAAACAGGTAAGAGGGTTTTTAGAGGTAAAAAATGCATTATAATTAATAGGGTGAGAACTTTTAATGTTGGGGTATGTTTCTCTGGAAATCTTAAGGCACTCTGCTGCTGTTACTGGCTACCTCCCTCACCAAAGTGTTGTGTTTGTAAAATTCCAGGCCAGAACTTTTGTTCTACGGATATTTTAATTTTATTTTTTGAAAAATTTCTTTTAATGTAGATGTCAAAGCATTAAACTCTTGGCTGTGGGTTTGGGGCCTATAGCCTTGATATCTTTTTAAAATTTTGACATTTCCTATTAGCTGTGACCTTCACCCTCCTTAGTGGTGGTTTAGTGGTGCTGGAAGAATTTCCTGCTATAAACCTCCAAGTTTACTATACTATATAGCCAAAAAACAAAAAAACCCCCATCAGTCTAGGAATGATAGATAATTTAGCCAAGATGGTTAGGTCTTTATTTTTTCTTTCTTATCCCACAAAGAGATTAATTATAAAATCAGGCTACTACAACTTGAGGGGAGTGAATAGGCAATGTTATTACCATCATTTTCATGGCCCATTTAGTCCTACCAGCCTTCTGAGCCCTTCCAGCTCCTCCCACTTGACAGTAATCAAGTGTGAGGTTTTGGCAACCTAACACGAGCACAACTTTTTAAAATGCATAATACAATTAGGTTTTCTTTTATTTTAAATGGGATTGAAAATTTGGAGTATCATTTTTCTTTTTCATGAAATTTTTATCTCCAAAGGGGAAAAGTAAAGTACAATGGTTTGTTTCAGGTACTCAGTGTCTTTTATGAGTTTTTAAAAATCTGCTTAGGGGTTGGCTGCCCTCTAAAGCTCTGCTAAATGATCTCTTACCTACATGTCTTTAAATGTTTTATAACTTAGGAATGTCAATTTCCAGTGTATTTTCTTTGAGTAGTTCACACTGAAAACCTATTAAGTAATTTTTCCAATTATTAAACAAGTATTTTAAATCACTATAGTGATTTGAGAAAGATTATATTAGACTCTTCGTACTTCTGCATATTTGGTATCTTTCTAAGATCTCGGGCTTCCTCTCAGGAACAAGAAGAAAATGTTGCACCTGGGGATTTGTTTATTTATATGTGAAGCTGTATGCAAAATGGAAAGGTACACAGCATGACAATTTTGAAACTACTCAAGAAATTTTATTTCCAGCTATACCAGGAAGGAAAAATTATTAATTGGGTTGACTGTTGGATCTAGAGTTCTTCTGGTTTTATAAATTAGAAACTGCCCTTTTGAAATATTTGTGTGATTTCCCAGTGTCTTTCATACAATCTAAATTTAGGGTTCTACTCTAAAAGAAATGGTTCCACGAACACCTGAATTGGCTTGTGTTATTTGGAAAGCCTGGCTTTGAGTATTAAAATTGAAAATAGGATTACCTTGACTTTGGTAAAACAACCAAATAGATGACTTGTACTGCATCTATTTTTCTTTTTGCAATAGGATGGGTATGGCTTATCTGACCACCACCTTTATCTCCCAGCTTATTCTCTAAGCTTCCCTGGTTAAAAGATACTTTTACTTAATAACTTGAATTATATCCTAGTTTTGAGTTGTTAGCAGAGGAATTTATGGAATGACAAAATTCCATCGAACTTCAGATAAGTTTGTTCTTAGCAACCCAGAAGTGATTTTGATGTTGAAGTAAAGTGAGTTAATGTGCTTCCACCTGAATGCTGTAATACTAAATTTTCAGACATGGGTTTCAGTGTAATCATTTGAGTGCTGGTTGTATATTAAGAACTAAGGTGCTGAGCATATATAAAAAAGTATCAGATAGTCTCTACCCCTGCCAGCAACTTACGCTCTAATTGTAGAAACGAGATATAAACAGGTAAATAGTTAAATGTCAGGGGGAAAGTTCACAGTTGAAGACAACTACAGGGGAGATGTTGCAAGCCAGTATTGGAGTTCATCTGCTAATGAATTTTTCAGGTGATAAGGGTGCCTGAGCAAGTGTATGAACAGCTTCCTTTAAGGTGGGATGGTCAAGAAAGACGACAAAAGAATTTGTTAGAGAAGGATGTGGAATGGAAGAGGGAGGTTGGGATTGAGATGTCAGGCAGACAGTTTTGAGTAACAGTCTAGCAGCCTGTTGATCAATGGAAATGATGCAGGTTGAAGCTTGGAAAATGAGTTACAATGGTTGGGTCATTTACTGAAAGAGAATTCTGAGGGCCAGCCAGTTAGAGGTGGGCAGGGAGTGAGGCATAATCAGTTGAGACATGTTGATAAAAAGCAACAGTACTAATAATAGCAGTCATTTATTAAATACCCATTTCAGGTCAGCATTCTGAGTCTCATACATGTTATCTCATGTAAATCTCAGCATAGACCATAATCTGATAGCTAGTAAGTAACAGCCAGGCTTCAAACAGGCCTCTGTTACTATAGTATCATAATTCATTACTCCTTTTCTGGAGGATGGGATAGGATTAGAGCTGCAAATGAGTATATTGGCAGTGAATTTCAAACTATACAGTGCATCGACATTTGCACTTCCTGGGAATTGGATAGGCCTTTGGCTCCAACCTCAAGAGTTCTGGGATTTGGTAGGGCCAGCGTAGCCCAGGAGTCTTTTTTTTTTTTTTTTTTAAACAAGCTCCCCAGGTAAATTACGTAGTCCATGGTCAGTGGCTGCATGTTGAGCAACGCTGGCCAACAGAGTGGAGTGCTGAGGTAATATCTTTAAGATACAGGAAGAGAAGGAATGTGGCGCTTGACAAGAGGTCCAGTCGGGAGAGCCAGAATGGTGTTCTGTCTTGGAAGCTAAGAGGACATGCTTCCAGAATATAAATTCAAAACTGTGGTAGAGACAAGTAGATTGAAACTACAATGGCATGGAATTTGTCACTGAAAGTGTCACTTAAATAACAGTTTTTTGATCAAGTATTTCTCCAAGGTATTCAATCTTGCATAGTATTAAATTTTGTCTTAAAACAGTCTGTGAAGAAAGGCCATGGTTTAGCTTGTGAAATCCTAACGGGATACAAGAAGAGTTTTGTGACTTGGCTAAGGGTTCACAGCCAGGAACTGATTTGAGATATCCTTGAGTTTTCAGATGTTAACCTAAAAATAACATGACTATAGTTTAGCTTAAATTAAAATTGCAGGTGATTCTAGGATTACATGTGTATGTACATACGTAAGTTGTTTTCTGTGGATGAACATCATTTATCTGCTGCCTTCTAACTGGTTACCAATAGAGTGGAGACAATGGAGTTATAGATGAAGTTGAGTATATCTTTGACTTGTAAATGGCTGAAAGAATTTCTGTTTTGAATTATCTATACTGGGTTGTCTTCTATTAATGTAGCTAATTCTTCAAATATTTAGTTACCTACCATATTTTTTGCCATGCATAATGTGCACCTTTTTGCCCAAATTTTTGAGGGGGGAATGAGGATGTGCATTAAACATGGGTGATACTAAAAAGTGGGTACACATAATACACAGCAAAATATGGTGGTATGTAGCAGGCATTATTCTAGATCTTGGGGGAGTATATTGGTGAGGAAAACAGACAAGTTTCTATTTTCTTATGGAACTTACATTCCCATGGAGGAAGGGAGGCAGTACACTCTTTAAGTCAGGGCCTTGTTGCCAAGGACAGAGGATTTGGATTGTATTCTAAGTGCTGAATGCCGTGGAGAGCCACTGGAAGTTGTTTTCGCAGGGAGAATGATGTGATTTGATCAAGATTTGACTACCTGTCTCAGGAAAGTAACACAAACTTCCTTCAAAGGTCCTTCAATTATTTCCAAGACCTAGAGTAATGCCTGATATATAATATTGGAAGACTTAATTAGCTACACTGTTTGAAGATAAGCCAGTATATAGATAATTCAAAATAGGAACACTTTCAGCCATTTAAAAGTCAAAGATAATATTTCCTTCAAAAATAAATTAGCATTTCACATTCTCTGTAAGACTGTTCTTCAGAGATCAGCAGTGTTCCATATTTAAGTACCATAATAGAGATTCTATTTCTTCTTCAGGCTCGTAATTGTTGGCCACCCTGAGGTTTCAGAGTCACCTTCCCCTTAGCACTTCATTTGTCATGTTATTTCTTATTCTTTGCTTTCAGTAGATTCATGACAGTTTCTACTGTAGTCATATGTAGTCATTGTGTATACTTTCTGCCGTAACATAATGACCATGCTTTCTGTGTTTCATAATTTGCAATTTCTCCAGTGGTTTCAAACCAAACTTCCTTACTAAAAATCAGTTTAGATGGTCTTTTTGTAGAATGGTTGTCATCCTATGCGAACCAGATAGACCTGTTTATACAATCTTTAAGTGCTGAATTGATAGCTGACCTTTCCCAGGTGACTGACAGATTTCCTTAATGAAAAATTTTATGCATAAGCATGTTAATACATCTGTGTCCAGAGTAGAACTATCATCACAGGCAAAATTAACACTTTGAGGTACTACATACAGATATATTAAATACTTTAAGGCATCTTTGGAAAACTGATGTTTCATAAAATTTATATTTCAGCATATGGAAAACAATAGTTTTACCTTGCGCCCTAGGTAAGGATCTAGTGTGTGTATATTCTTTATACACAGGAACACTTGAGTAAACTAGACCGCTTACTTAGAATTTTTCTGCATTTTATTGCAGAGGTCTTAAATCTGGCTATGTATTATAATCACCTAAGGAACTTCTTAATACCAATAACCGGGTCTCTCTCAGAACTTCATTTAAATTGATCTAGGTCAACTGGGACTCTGCCAGGTTCCCAGCATTGTTTTTGTTTTGTTTTCAGTGCCCAGGTAACTTGACTTAGTAGTCAGGGTTGAAAACCACTGTTCCAGAGACAAATCGTAAACATACAAATATACACACCATCAATCTCTTAAGGACTGTTTGAAAATGAAAACACGGAACTTTTCAGACTGTAATTGGGGTTCAGTACAGCAGGTATATTGATTAGTCTTTTGGAATCCCTGCTATCAAAAGTGTGGTCCTCAGACGAGCAGCGTTAGCATCACTGGGAACTGTGTTAGAAATACAGAATTGCAGGACCTCGCCCCAGATCTACTCCAGGCA